AAGTACCAGAACATTTCTAGCTTTTGTGACAATGTGCTTACGTGTGGATGTGATAAATCCACATGTATACACAGTTGTGTCTTATGTATACCCGACAGTTATCTTTGTATTCTGTAGTATGGTCGGAGATACAGCATTAACATTCTTATGAAATACATGTAGCAATCTATTTCTTCATAAAACAGGCACAAGACTTCTATCAGTAAGGAATTACAGAATGGGAAATGATGGCATAATAGACATGAAGAGTTCAAAACACTGTCCTGTTTAAAAAAAAAATCATTTCCAAAGCACCCAGATCAATTGTCTCCGTAGAAACAGCAAGAAAAAAGTGTAGTCAAATTGATGTACTGAGAGAGACAAGATGGCAAATTGCTTTTTTAAAAGTTTACACATGATTTTTTTTTAACCCCTAGAATTTAATATTTATAGATACAGGTATAAATGTATGTGTGTGTATCTCAACAAAAAATTGGTATGCAGCTATTTGGATCTGTTCATTATATCTTTCTTATACCTGTATAATACCACCCTAAGCACTTGTTTGAAAAAGTGTGGTCAAAATTTATTGCTGTCCTTTTTTCTTATTTCTGTTTTTTGTAACTCCATTGGTCCAATATAGCATAGGCCAAATTCAAGAGATGTTTATAGGGCATATGAAATTCTGATGATTTGTTTTTTTCATTATGAAAAATGTATTTTAGCTTTCGTTTAGACCCTAATGTGTTCAGTGAACAAAAAGAATAGAAAAAATTATAACCAATATTTTATTTCAAAAGCCAAATAAGAGAAAGGTGGTAAGAAAAGACACTTTGGTAGCATTTATATGTACATTAAAATTGGTTCCTTTAAAATGTGCAATAAGTTGAGCATTTAAGAAGAGCATCAAGTTCTGAAGTTCAATTCCTTATTCTCCTCTGTTCTGAGCAACTTCATTCTGTGATAAAATCATAATTCGTCAAGATTTTTTTTGTTCAGGCTCAGGCAAACTTTTTCCTAATTTTTGGGGGGGTTAATATTTTTACTTTTTATCATAAATATTTACAGTCCTCAGAAGCAATTTTTGCAAATGTAGTTAAGCTTAGGAACATGCTGTCCTAAGATATATCTCAGAATCCTGAAAGTGTAGATTTCGAAATGGCTATTAATGAAAATAAAAGTCAGAATAACTATTCTGGCTACATTTGCCTTTGATTAAGAAGAGACTGTGAGACACTAGCAAGATTACAATCAACTATTTATGCCATGATAAATATAAAATCAAGGAATGATTGCTAAATTACAAAAATTGAAAGTGCTGGAAAAGGAGCCTGCTTTTTTCCCCCCTAATATAGCTATCTTAAGTAGCCTTAGGTTTTAAGAAGAGCCATTTCCCATGTAGTTTTGGCAAAATAATGCTGTATTCCATATGTACATGTGAAAGCATTTTTTTATTGACTGAAATATAAATAAGATATACCTAAGTATAGGTATAATAATGACTGCACAGAACAGGTGGGATCTGTTTGTTTGTATTTCATACTTGTCAATATAATTTTTGTTCTCACTTTCTGTTACCAGTGCTATATGCTCAACTGCCTATTCATTGATAGATGATACTTTGTAAATATTGTACAATTTGATCCTCTTTATGGTTTAAATTAGTATTTATATCATATAAGTTGATTGGCTGATCACAAAAATAATTTCATCATTAAACCCTGAAAACTTAAAATTTTTTGTTCGTAAACCCCCATTTGGGGTTTTAGTCTTATCCACTTGTGTGTTATTTTCATTTGGTCTAAATAGTGTTTTATTTGAATAGGTATCTTCTAAGACTGGAAAGGTAATATTTTCTTTTTTTAAGGCAGATGTTTTGCGTTCTTTACTCGAGTTAAAAACTATTTCATGAAAAAGAGCAGGGTTACTCATGACTGTTTCTTATACACTGAAAGCATATATCTAATCTGATAGTCTTCTTATGCTTTTAGTTGTATGAGTTCCTTTCTGTGAACTGAACACAAAACTCAGGAATTGATGGCTTAGTTTTAGATCAGTGCTTATACTAGGCTTAGTATGTGAATCCTTTAAAACACATAATTAACTTTGTATGTAGCCATATATGTAATTGACTTTGAATGTTCTCTACCTGAGGTTAATATTCCTTCAAACATGGATTCATAATTGTGATTACAGTTCCCAGTTGTCTGAGAACCTCATGATGGTTTCTAGGATTTAAGATCTTATGACCACTTTTTTTTTCATTTGATCAAAAATTTTATTTTTTCACACGAAACTTTAGATGAGTAATAATTATTGACATGTGCATTTGTTTTAGTTATTAAATGTACTATGCCTTCAATTACCCACCATTTAGTGAGGTGTAGCTGGCCCAGGAATAGAAAATAAATAGGGCATGTGAAACAAGTAAGTTTCAGCAATAGATATTTTACTTGTATTTCATGTTAACACTCTTTTGTATCACTTATAAATGTACGGTGTAATCTTTGTCACCATTCCATTGAAAAAGTTGGCCTTGTAAAATACAACACTCATTTAGTATTCATGCTTTTGTGCCTTTAAGAAAACACTTTTTGTTATCTTTGTGTTACAGAACTCTCCAGTATGATTCAAAGTGTTTATAGGCTTACTTGTCATAAGGGTCATTTCTCTGTGTCATTTTATTTCCTTTTATATAGCTATAGTATATTTAAACAGTAATGCTGTACTTTTATAAGGGTTTGTCTATATTTAACTATTTCAGATATATTCACTCTCAGACATCATTGAAGTAGACTTGTCAGATTATTCTGAGTATTGTAAACAGTGCCTTTTTGATGGAATTCACACTGTTTTGGGTGTCAACGTGTGCCATATACATATAAAATTCTGTAGAAGGCAGTTTTAACTTTTTGAAGAATATCTTAGTCAAATATTTAAGAAAACAAATGTGTAAAAATCCATTTTTTCCAGTGTTTAGCATTTCTAATGAGTAATGAATATAGTTTGGGGTTTTTTTGGTTGATATACAGTGATGATGGCAATATTGATGAGCCATACATGATGCTGTAGATTATTTTGAATTATGTTAAATGTACAGAAATAAAATACTAATATTAGCATTTATACCAAATTTTCCAATTTGAACCAATAAGGGGTAACACCATACAAATCTCTAAGTTTACATTTTAACTTCTATCTCATTTGACTACATGGATAAAGAAATTCTTTAAAATGTATAACCTGCCACTATTATGTAATTTGGTTTCATTTTGTTTACATAGTGTGTGAATTTAGTATATTTAAGTTACTTTTTGTTACTCTTTAACATACTGTTTGTTTTGTTAGCGTTTTTAATTGAAGATGGACTGTTAAAATTGTACAGGACCAGTGTCTCTTTAATATGATTAACATACTTAGAAGAAACACAAGAAACCCATGACAACATGAATGTGAATATACTTTCTAAAATGTTTAGAAAATTTTATCTTTTTGCATTTATCATGTAAAATTATTTTATTACAGTATTGAAATTTATTTAAAAATATGCCATGAAACATTTGAGCCACAGAACTTCAGTTGAAAATTTTTCCACTTTTTAGCATGCTAAATATACATCTAAGTTAAATATCCTGCTGAATGGCCATTTATAAATTCAAACACTACCACTGGTCAGTTTTGTATAATAGAATAAAAGTATGTTATCTGCCGTGTAAGTACAGCACACTGTCAAATCCTTTCCTTAAGGTGCATAGTAGATGTACAGAGAGTCATAGGCAACTGTTTGTAATGTATTACATTTCTAATCTATTATTCCTGACCTATTATAAATGTTTGCAGAGACAAAAGAATCGAATTTTTCTAATCTGTAAAATTATGCTAACTTCTACAGGTAGGCATTCTGAATAAAATTCTTAAAAAGAGCAAACTGTGATCAAATGACTTTGACTATAACATGGTGACTAACTTTGTCCTAGTGTTTAAATTAAAAAATATATATTTTTTGTAGGGGTAGTTGTGAAGGATGGTGAAGAGCTGGGAAGGATTTAATAGTTAGAAACCCTAATGTATGCTTTCCTTGGTGCTTTATATTCATTCTTCGTAAATACTCATCATAACCTTACGGTAAGTGGAAGTTAACCCACCTTTATAAATAAAGAACCTGAGACTCAGGGAAGTTAAATGATCCCAGAAGCTATGCAGTAAGAGTGATGGCAAGCACAAGTTTAAATCCATGTCTGACTTCAGTGTCCATTCTTCTTCCACGGTACACTTAAATAGAACCCTGATGGTAGCACTTTACTTTTTTAAAAGTTTGGAGTAATCCACTGCTCCAGTCTGTATACTATAGCTATATCCACCACTGTTTTGTGATGGGTGGAACTAGAAAAAAACTTACTAAACAATTATATATACAAAACCTATATAAAAAGATTTTCCCCTCAAATCACTTAGTCCATACTGAGTATCCGGTGAGTTCCAAATCATTCCTGTCTGGTTTTCCTCTTTTCCTTCATCATCCTCCTCTTCCATTCTTGCTCTGTCCTCAGGGTCTGCTTGCTTCTGCCTAATAGTCCGTTGGCTCTGTCTTACTAATTGTGTGGGGCAGGGTGGAGGGAGGGAAAGGAGGGCTTACAGGTTTCCCCTGTCCTATGGGTAGGAATAAGGTAAGGAGAACAGCCCCTCATTGTTCAACCTCAATGAAAAATCTACAATATAAGTAATTTTCTTACTAATACTGACTGCACTCTCATAGGTGTCCCGTGTTGTGCTATCATCCTAATTGGCTCTTCTGCACTTTTACAAAATAATCCTTTTCTTGTAGAGAGAGTGGGTCCATACACTAGTGAATATCACAGTAATTTGGGGGGTATGCTGTAAATATTTGACTGTTGAGTGCTTAGTATATATGCCAGGCACCATGCAAAAAAAGTTCTTTGCAAACATTCTCACTGCAAAACCTCGTGAGACTTTTCCTTTATATATTGCCCCCTTTTTTAAGGTAAGAAAAGTGGAGATGAAAGCGTTTACTTACTGAATGTCACAGATAAGTGTCAGAGCAAACCGAGGTCTAAATCTTAAGCCCGTACTGTTAACCATTTCATCCTTGAGAGAAAATGTGCTTTAATATATGAAACAGTATGTTTTTTCTGCGTGTGTTTTCTTATGCACTTGTATCCAACAGTCTTAGGCCATTGTGTTTTTAAAGCATACTAGTGATCGCCAACGTAGCTAAGTTTTCACATCTGCCCCTCTGCTAAAGAAAAAGTAAACTCTGGTGGCTGGGGGTTTCATAGTAATATCCGTGCCCGGGAAATGTGGCAAAGTTCCCTGCGGAAAGCATAAAGCTTGCCGCTGTCCTGCATCCCGAAGCTGTTTTTGTGATGGTTGGAGCAACTGATGATACTGTGGACAGAATACTCCTGAGTCCAACGCAGAGGTTTTGTCAGCGGTGGGGCACGAACCCGGTTCCACCCGCGGGACCCATTCCCTCCTACGCATAGGCTTCCCTAAGCGTGCCGACTTCCCGAGAGGAAGGACGTTTCCTGGGAGACCGATTTGGTGGCAGCTGAAGCCACTGCAGGGAATAAGTTCACCCAGGGAGCTGGGGAAGGGCTGGCAGTTTCCGGTCCAGGAACAGCTCCTGAGAAGTCCTGACCTCGAGCCCAGCTTCGCGGTCTGTTGGAACGCCGGCCCCAGGTGGCCGAGTGTCCGGCTACTCCGTTCGTGGGCGGCGGGGGATGAGGCCCAGCGGCCCCAGCGCGCGGCCTCCTCCCGCCCCTTCCGCTTCCGCCCGCTTCGCCTCCCCCCTTCCTGGCCGTGCTGCTTCTCTGCCGCCCGTGGCCGGAAGACCCTCGATCTTTACGTGCTATGGCCGCCGTGGGGTCTGCGAAGGCAGCGCTGCAGGTGGCGGAAGTGCTGGAGACCATCGTGAGCTGCTGCGTAGGGCCCGAGGGGCGACAAGTTCTGTGTACGAAGCCCACCGGGGAGGTGCTGATCAGCCGGGATGGAGGCTGCCTCCTGGAGGCGCTACACTTAGAGCATCCCATAGCCAGGTACCCGCGTCCCACATTGCAGCTCGTTAGAGCGTCCCATGGCCAGGTACTGTTGTCCCACTCTCCTGCCCAGAGCCGGGCACCCCAGGCCATCTCCCTGAACCCTTAGCCTGTGCTCCTGGGAAGACTCACCTTGGGCGAAACCAGTATGCTTAGGGTTCGAGCGCCGTCCAGTGGAATGTTCTTTTGGAAATCCAATCTTACCAAACACCCAAGAACATTTATTTCCCTCCTCCTCGCTCCACCCAGCCCCAGAATCTTGAAATAAAACAAAGTAAAACTTTGTAAAAACTGAAACTAAAAACATCAGTCATAAAAGTCTTTTAGGACTTTGGTTGTGAAACCATGGTTTCAACTTGATTTACACGTGTGAAGGCAGCCATCTGAAAATCTGAGTTGCTTTATTTCTTTTTTTGTACAGGATGGTGGTGGCCTGTGTTTCCAGTCATCTAAGAAGAACAGGAGATGGTGCTAAAACATTTATTATCTTTCTTTGTCATTTACTCAGAGGACTTCATACAATCACAGACAAAGAACAGGATTCTTTGATTTCCAAAAATATTCAAACCCATAGAAGGCATTGGAAAAATTGTTGTCAGTGGAAATTTATTTCTCAAGCTCTTCTAACGTTTCAGACACAAATATTAGATTATATTATGGACCACTACTTAAGTAAACACTTTTTGTCCATCTTTTCTTCATCCACTAAAGAGAGAACACTGTGTAGGAGCTCTCTAGAGCTGCTCTTAGAAGCATACTTTTGTGGAAGAGTGGGGAGAAATAATCACAACTTTATTTCACAATTGATGTGTAACTACTTTTTCAAGAGTATGGCTTGTGAAAGTGGGTTTGAAGAAGTATTTGACTTAGTGGATGACTATTTTGTAGAGTTGAATGTTGGTGTCACCGGCCTTCCTGTCTCAGATTCCAGGATCATAGCTGGGCTTGTGCTTCACAGAGACTTTTCTGTATACTGTCCAGCAGATGGTGACATAAGAATAGTGATAGTAACAGAAACCATTCAGCCTCTTTTTTCAACTTCTGGATCAGAGTTTATTCTAAATTCAGAAGCACAGTTTCAGACCTCTCAGTTTTGGATTATGGAAAAGACAAAAGCAATAATGAAACATTTACAGAGTCAGAATGTAAAATTGCTCCTGTCTAGTGTGAAACAACCGGACTTAGTTAGGTATTATGCAGGACTGAATGGTATATCAGTGGTAGAGTGTTTATCACCTGAAGAAGTTTCTCTTATCCAGAGGATCATCGGTCTTTCTCCCTTTGTACTAGCACAGGCCTCTTCACAGAATGAAATCTGTAACACTGCTTTGGTGAAATTTTGTAAGCCCCTGATCTTGAGATCCAAAAGGTATGTTCATCTTGGCTTGATTAGCACATGTTCATTTATACCACACTGTATAGTTCTTTGTGGACCAGTGCAGGGTCTTGTTGAACAACATGAAGATGCTTTACATGGAGCATTTAAAATGCTTCGACAGTTATTTAAAGATCTTGATCTAAATTACATGATACAAACCAGTGATCAAAATCATACATCGAGTCCTCCTAATTATAAGACTAGCAGAGAAAGTAATCCACTGCCAGAAATTGTTAATGGCTTAATACAAAGGCCATCTCAGGGCACAGTTGTAAAGAACAAAGGTAAACTGGCAAAAACTCAAACATATTTAAAAGTATATTCAAATTTGGTAGTTCCAAGTGTAGAATTAGAAACCTGTATTCCATATTCAACACCAAAAGTGACACCAACAGATACATACCAGACAGATGAAACACTGAGATGTTTACCTCCAACCCAAACCAGGATAATTGATGACCGTGAACCATTTATGGAGAGTAATTCTGCTAATTCAGTAGCAGAAAACACTGGAATAGAAATTTCTTACGAAAATTTACAAGTCACAAAAATCGGTAGAAAGGGAAGCCTGTTGTCAGTGAGAGAGAAGTCACTGGAGATGTGTACTTCCCAGAGTTACTGCTGCTCCACTCTACCAGCAGGTTGTGTTTTGCCAGTGGGTGGTAATTTTGAGATCCTGTTACATTACTATCTCCTCAAGCACACCAGAAAATGTCAGCAATCAGAAGAAACCATAGTTAGCATGATAATAGCTAATGCTCTTTTAGGCATTCCCAAAATCCTCTATAAGTCTAAGAAGGGAAAGTACAGCTTTCCACACATATATGTAAGAACGCTCCATGCACTGCAAACCAACCAACCCATGGTGAGCAGTCAGACAGGTTTGGAATCGGTAGCTGGCAAATACCAGTTACTAACTTCAGTTCTTCAGTGTTTAACAAAAATTTTAACCATTGATTTGGTAATCAATATTAAGAGACAGCCTCAGGAAATGTATGATCAAGATTCAGAAGAGGAAGTATAAAATTGGAAGTTTTTTATTAACCAAAATTTTAATTCAACTCAAGCAATAAAGAAGGATGTGACAGCTGATTCTCAAATCAATTCAGTCTAGTTAGGAAAACATCAAAACTTAAAAAGTCTTTTAGAAGTACGCTAAGAGGCTAGCAGACTTTCAGACACAAATACTAGAAAACATTATGGAACAACTCTGGGGAGGAAGCCTTCCACATAGGGGAAGCCAAGATCTGACTAAGTGTGTCTTTCTTCCCCTTACAGGTGCCTGTCTGCGCTCTGTTAGTTTGAGTGTATGTGGGAGGGTGTTTATAGTTCCTTTTTACTTTTCCCTTTTTTCACTCTCTTCATCTGTCCTCACCTTTCTGTATTTATTTAGTTCATAGAATCATTTAATCTGAGATTTGGATGGGGTCTTCAGATGTCATCCTATTTTAATGGTTTAAAATATAAAATACAGTATTTGCTTCATTTAAAATTATTTTCTCTACTCATAATTTCTAAAGCAATGAAGTCTTGATTTTTTTTTTCTCAAGCATATAAATTAGTTTTTACTTTTATACGTCCCCTTATTTGTATCTGTTTTATGTGGAAAAGCCTGGATATGTTTTTTCATTATCCATACACCACTGACTATGTAACCGGAAATATGACTTTGTGCACTGTAAACTTACTTTCATTTCTGTAGTTAAAAGTCAGTTTCAGAAAGGTTATGAAATGATACTAACATTTTCTCCTGTCCCCTAAGAGCTTGTAAAAATCATTCATGTATTGCTGGCTTTTCTTGTATTTGGTGCATATAATTCAGAGTTCAATAGTAATAAACAGTTTGAAAATTCTTTTTTTTTTTTTTTTTAGTGCTTCAACCAATTGGTTTATAAAAAAATGAAAACAAAACAAAACAAAACCAAACAATCAAAGATGGGTAATAATAGTACATCGCTACATCATTATGCAACAAGATCCACTATTTTTTTGGCCTTCATGAAAAGTTCCCATTTTACTTAACTTTTTATACAGAGTTTTATCTTCTGTTGTGAGAAATACTAAGTTAACATTACTATGTTTATACCTTCTTGGAATACTTAAAAAAAAAAAGTAGAACTTTCTACTGAAAGTTTGAGACTTTTACATTCATTTCCTACAACATTTAAATAAAGAATTGATTATGCAGTGCTAAGCTTCCACCTATACTTTTAGAAAAGGGGTCTAACACCAAACTCACTTAAGTTTTGAGTGCTCAGAAATTAATTATACCGTGAATTTCCCCTGAAGACCATGACAGCTTTGCAGAGGGTGGTTTCAATGCTACATCCTAAATCAAAGTTACAATGATTTACATATACTTTGCTTTCCCAGCTTAAGTTTTCAAACATTACATAGACTCCAGAACAGCTTCATTCCGATGACCTTCAATTTGAACAATGCAATCATGAATCTATTCCAGGGAAACAACTCTAATGCAGTTTAGGGTTAATTCAGAGTTTCTTAGGGTAAAAGGATGTAATGTACTCCTTTATATATAGTTGCAAAACACAACACAACACAGCATTTTGTTCTCAGAGAACACAAGTCTTGATGTATCCTTGCACACAGCATTCCCTGCACCCTGGCTTGAGAACTTTGATCAGCAAAAATCTACACATTCCCTTTCTCCTGGCCTCAACCGTGGCTTTGAGGTTATTGTCAAGAGTAATAAGCACAAGTATGCAAGGAACCGGCAAGCACTAACCATGATGTACACAGCGCAAGACTGGATTTCCTTCGCAAGCTAGACTAACTAGTATTTTCAGTCTTAGGTCTTTCAGATTCTGCAGCACAATGAATGTGGCACGTTATATTCCAGTAAAAAACCAGTATGACCGTATCTTTTTTTTTTTTTAACCCAGGCCAGAAAACAAAAATCGGTCGCTATTATTATAAAATTCAAATAGGAAAACAGAAGATTTCTACGTTTCAGGCAAGTATGACCTCTGTTTGAGACTTTCACAGTCACGATCTTAGTCACGGACAGCGTCACAAGACCTTAGAGTCTCTGGGGATGGCTTTTCATTAGGAAAAAAGTCACCTGTCGAGTAGCGCTGCAGCAGTTCCCAGACACCGCGGTCTCCCTCCGCTTGGAGCCTGGCTTTCCTGCCGCCTTTCTTGGCGTCGTGGCCACTTTCGCAGGAGCAGGTTTAGCTGACACCCTCGCCCACCTCCTCCGGGGCTCCTCCGCCGCCGCCCCGTCGGCAGAGCCGACCTTCCTCGTGGGCGCCGTGGCGGCGGCGGCGGCGGCGGCGGCGGCGGCGGGGCGGGCGCGGGCCGGGAGCGAGCGGGCGGGGGCGCCCCGAGCCTTCGCGAAGCCGGGCTGCCCGGCCGCTGCCGCTCCTGCCGCCGCCCGAGCCGCGGCGACGCGCCAAAAATTCTTTATTGCTGATGTGAGTTTTACAATATCTGTACTTTATTTTAAAGGTTTATAAGTGCATGTATCACTGTGTATCTAGCTGTAGAGAAGGACAGTGTCTTCTGCTTTTAGGAGTTCTCTGCAACACCCGAACACGGCTCTGTTTGTGCCAAGTACTCAGACGCACCTGTTGTAGAAACCTGCTGCCTTTAATCCGTTCTCTTTAATACATGTTTCCAGTTTACAAATTCCACAAACTCTTTGTTTTGTTGTTGTTGTTTAATTTATTTATTTTAGAGAGAGAGAGAGCGGGGTAAAGGAGCAAAGGGAAAGGGAGTGAGTCTGAAGCCAACTCCACCGAGCTTGGGGCTTGTCACTAGGCTGGATCTCAGGAGCCTGACATCACAACCTGAGCTGAAACCAGAGTCCAGGCTTAACCGACTGCACCACCCAGGCGCTCCGCAAATTCAACAAATTCTAGATGAGTGCCTACTATGTGCCAGATGCTGAAGACACAGTGGTAAATAGCTGTGGTTCCTGCCTGCATGCCCCTTTCCTGAAAAGTTAATGGATGTGACACTACTTGGATTGAGATTAAATTTAGGAAACCGGATTTTAAAATTCTAATTACAGTAAAACTTGAAAAAATGGTGACTAAGAATGTCATTAAGAATGACATTAAGAAACTGAAACATCTTAAAAAAGAACTAACGTATTATCTTGTGGTATCTCATGATCTTTTACATTAACTGTAATTTCATTTTTTAAGTTTAATATAATAATATTATTTCATTTCTGTGATTATGGGGAGAATAAATTAGCTCTGGGTTTTTTTGTTTTGTTTAGTTTTTAAGGAGGTGCCACACCCAGCATGGAGCCCAACGTGGGGCTTGAACTCACAACCCCGAGATCAAGACCTGAGCTGAGATCAAGAGTCAGCCGCTTAACTGACTGAGCCATGCAAGTGCCCCAATTAGCTGTTTCTTATACCAAATTCATAGATGTATGAACCTACTGTAAATTGCTGTACAATTTTTTCCATTCACTTTTTAAACTTCCTGTCAGATCATTTGATAGTTCTGCTTTATTTTGTTGTTGTTATTTTAAATACTTGTCCATCACTGAAGGCATTCAAAGACTTCCAGACATGCCCAGACATATGACCTTGCATATGATATGCATTTTATTAACTATAAGTAATCAGAAGCCCAGAAGTCCCTTTGTAAACTGGGCCTGGGTCTTCGTATGTTTGGCACCTGGTCTAATATCTAGCACATAATAGCCAATAAATGTCGATTGAAGAACTATTTGTTGACTGAATTAGTCATTTGATCCTCATAGATGAGGTCATAATTATTTCCATCAAAGTTTCATGGGAAAGGATATGTTTTGGGGAGAAAGAGCAGAAAATGTAGAATAGGTCCACACAAAGCAATCTTTTCTCTTTTAAATTTCTTCTAATCTCTTTTTTAAAAAAATCCCTTAGAAGTGGTCATAGAGCTTTCATGGATTATCTTTATCATTTACAGAATAACACCAGGGAGTTTACATCACCAAGTTAGACAAAAGAGCACTTTATTTTTTTAAAAGATTTTATTTATTTATTTGACAGCAAGAGCACAAGCAGGGGGAGCTGCAGAGGAAGAGGGAGAAGCAGGCTCCCCGCTGAGCAGGGAGCCTGATGCGGGGCTCCATCCCAAGACTCTGAGATCATGACCTGAGCCAAAGGTAGACACTTGACAACTGAGCCAGTCAGGTGTCCCCAGAAAAGCACTTTAAAAAATTTGATTACATTGTATTTAAACCCTCTTCCACAAAGGATTTAAAGTGACTTGCCACAAGAACAGACAAAATTACTGTAAAATCTGAATACCAAAGAAAAGGTTAAGATGATTAAAAGTCAAAACCATGTTCCTGTTTTTGTTGCTGCATAATGAATACCTCAAAACTTACCAGATTTGAACTATACTATATTATTACCTCTTATGGTTGTGGGAGTTGCCCAGCCTTAGCAGACAGCATCCACTGTATTCTCTTGGTTCAGGCAGTCACAAAGGTCAGCTGAAGTTCAAGGAGAGGGAACATAGGCCCCACAACTCAATGGGAAGAGTGTCAATGTCACATTATTAAAAGAGCATGTGGGTTGAGATATATTGAGGCAGCTATTTTGCTATAATCTACCACACCATGGAAAAGGAGGAAAGGGGGAAAAGGACAAATAGGCATTAATTTCTCAACTGAGTTTTTTATTGTTGTGTTCTGAGGTTACATGACTACCTCCCACAAATACATTTCACCAATAACTTTAATGAATCTCCTGATTTTTTTTTTTTTTCCATTGGACCAGCACAAGCTATTTTTATTCTCCAAACAATAGGTATTAGATTGTTGACTAGCCCTGACTACTTTAGCCAGGGGAGCTATTTAATTGTATTAGGCCGGAAGTGGAGTGCCATGGTATCCATGTTTCAGACGAAGGGAGAGGAAAGACGAATGCAATTTGAGCCTAAACTTTTATCAGGTATTGTTTACCGCCTCTCAAAAGGAATAGACTACGTCTTTCCTGTTATCAGGGCCAGCAGAGAAAACAAAACCTACTGCTTAGGAACCATCTCTCTCTATCATGTTGTAGTTATTCAATGCAGCTTTGTAATAAATTGGTAGCAACCTAAACTCTAAGTGAATGCACAAACTAAGAGGGGTAGGGGCAGTAATTTGGGGTGGGGGGACAACATGCATAGGGAAGAGGTAGAGAGGTGATTTCTCAGTATACCACTACATGCTGATTTTATACCACTACATCCAAATTTTATTCTTCCAGCCAACTTTCTCTCTGAAGCCCCAGCTCACTCACTGAACTGCCAACCCAGTCTCTACTCAGAGCCTCACCCTTAACTTGTCCAGAACAGAATTGCTATTTCCTATCCCCTAAAGCTGGCTCTCCCTTGTTGTCCCATCTCAGTAAATGGCATCCACCACTCTCCCACACGCTCAGGACAAAAACCTAAAGAGACCCATTGACTTGACTCTAAACTTTACTTCACATCCCATAGCCAATCTATTAACAAGTCCTTCTGGCCCCATGTATAAATTAGATTTCAGATCCACCCATTTCTCACAATTGTTGTTCCAGCCCAAATCACCTCATCTCTTATCCACAGCAGCCCTCCTATGGCCTTTGCTTCTATCCCATCTTGTACTTCTCTAGAGTGATTTTAAAATATATATTTTTAAAGATTTTATTTATTTATTTGACAGAGAGAGACACAGAGAGAGAGGGAACACAAGCAGGGGGAGTGGGAGAGGGAGAAGCAGGCTTTCCACCGAGCAGGGCGCCCGATGCGGGGCTCGATCCCAGGACCCCGGGATCATGACCTGAACCGAAGGCAGATGCTTAACGACTGAGCCACCCAGGCGCCCCTAAAAATATTTTTTTAAAGATTTATTTATTTGAGAGAGAGAGAAAGAGAGGGAGAGTGCATAGCTGGGGAGGGGCAGACAAGAGGGAGAGAGAATCTGAAGCAGACTCCCTGCTGAGCCCAGAGCCCCAGGCGGGGCTCCATCCCAGAACCCCTGGATCATGACCTGAGCTAAAGTCAAGAGTCAGATGCTCAACCAACTGAGCCACCCAAGGTCCCCTATTTAAAAATTTTTAAACCCACAGAAAAGTTGAAAAAGCCTGCAATGAACACCTACATACCCTTCTTCTGGATTTACCAATTACCATTTTACCCCTTGTTCATGTGCACACAGCCACACACCCAAACACATTTTTACTGAACCATTTACTGAAAGTGAGTTGAGGACATTATACTTTATCCCTAAATATCTCACTATGTATTTCCCACGAATATGGACTTCCCCTACATGACTGAATGATTCTTTCTAAATGCAAATCATCATGTCATTCCCCTGCTCAAAACTCTCCGGAGTTTTTCTCTCACACAGAATGAAACCCAAATGTATCATAACCTACAAGGCTCTGCACGATCTGTCCACTGCTTATCCTTTAGATGACATCTCCTACCTCCCTCCCTCTAGCTTTCTCCTCACCAGTTACACTGACTGTGTTGGTCAGGCCACGTGATGCCATACTGAGGTAACAATGCCAAATCTCAGAAGCTTGACACAATACAAATTTATTTCTTGTTCACATTTATGTCTTTTGAGGGTCAGCCAGGGACCTTAGCCACCTTGTCTTCCTCGCTCTTAGATTGTGGTTGATGGAGCAGTCCTGTCTGTTGCATTACCAATCATCATGGCAGAGAGAGAAAAAAAGAGCTCTGGACAGCCTGTTGGCTCTGTCCTTACATGGCACATGTCATTTTGGCTCATGCCTCACTGTCCAAAATATGTCACATAGTCCTACCCATCCACAGAAGAACCAATTAATGCAATCTTACCTTGTGCCTGAAAGGAGAGAGAACCAGAACATTTGGCAAAGGCGCTAATGAGTCCCCAAACCGGCCTTTCTGTTCCTTGAACATACAGGTTCACTCCGACCTCTGAGCTTTCTACGTGCTGTTCTGTTTACTTAGAACTCTCTTCCCCACTAATCTTCATGTGGCTCACCTTCTCACTTCATTCGAATATCTCTGCCTTAATGTCACCTCCTCAGATAGGCCTTTCGTGACCCTTCTGTCTAAAATAATACCATATTCCTTTCCCATCACCTCCCTCTTCACTGTCTTCCTACCTTGTGAAGCTTTTTCTGAAGCACAGACCTCATGTTATTAGTATATGTGTTTATTTTTTGTACTGACTGCCTTCCCCACCAGAATGTAAACTCCATGAGGATTTTGACTTATTCACTTCCATATCCTCAGCATGTAGGATAATGCCTGGCCAGGTAGGCACTTGAGGAAGTTCAGTGA